TCGCAAGCAATAAAAGTTCTTGTTAAACATCTTTCTTTCTTTTGGAAACGAGGTAAATTATGAAGCAGATTGACTTCAAAAAACAAATAGGACTATAAATACATAAAAGTCATTGCCTTCCTCCAGTAATTTAATATGAGCATCCTACTCTGAAATAAGGAAAAGTTTAGTTCACTCACAGAAAGAATAAAGCAGATGTGAGGTTTTTCCGTCAGTTTAAGTGCTGCCTTGGTAAGATGAGTTGTCCCACTACATTAAACAAACATTTTAGTCAGGCATCACACAGGAAAATAAACAGTAGCAGAGGAAACATGAAAATATTAAAGACTGTTATTCTTTGGCCCCTTTTCCTGAGAAGCAGGTGATAAAATATTACTGCGTTTCCACAGGTAAGGAAACACGCTCTTAAACACTTTGCAGAAATACATATTACGATCATCACTTAAAATGTCAGAAGTGGATGGGGCTCAACTGTGACAGCACACAGGAGCCTGCCCAGAAACTCTGCAGAAGCAGAGGATTTAGCACGCTGGGTCAGGCTGCTGGGCTACCGAAAGCAGCCTCCTGGCCTGTGGCAGTGTCTGCCAGTAGCAAATTCAGATGCAGACGCAAAACACCTTCTAAGAGACAGCTGTAGATTCACCTGATTGAAGGAAAGACGACTCCTCTTGAATTCTAATTAGTTAGATGCAGTTAAGAGGAGGGAGATTATCTGCTGTATCCTTTTTACCCACTGAGTAGCAAAGAATGCACATGGGAAGAAGAGAGGAAACCTGCTGAGCTTCCTCCTGTTTGCCCACCTGTGATATACTACACTAAGCTGTTCAGATTTAACATTATTTAGTTCATGTAGATATAATTTGCTTACCGGCCAATCATTTCTGTTCTCTACGAAATTTTGTTTAGCTGTACATCATGCCCGAATTTTAGAGGTACTGAATTATGAAAGTAGAAAAAGAATCTTGAAATTATTTGAAATGATTGAAATGATATGGATAGCGTGATGTTCGTAGTGCTAAGATGAAGACCACTCATAATGTCATATATGAAATCTCTCTTATTAAGAGAGAATTGGAATAGAAATAGATCTCAAGCCATGACAGATCCTAAGGTTAGGATAATTCAAATGCAATTTTCCAGCTGGATCCCTGAAGATAAAATTTTAGAATAACTTAAGTCGATGTAACCGGAAGCCTAGGTTTCACTGGCTTTTGATACAAATTTATCTCCCCGATGCTGTTTGACAGTTCTGCAAATTTTATTCTGAGAGAAAGCTTTTTACTCAATGGCACTTCAGGGCTGTAATTCTGCCATCCTATACTGCCAAGAGGTGAGGCAGCTCCTGCTGGGAGACAAACCTCAGTGCCTCAGTCGTGACTCCTGCTTCCCATCCAGTCCCCTGGGCATAAAAGCGGGGTGCCTGAGATGGCCTTCGCCCTTTTCTCTCTGTAAAATGAGGGAAACGTAAATACTCCACATGACATTTGAATGTCTCCACACCTGGTGTGGGATAAAATTTGAATCCAAACTCTGAAGCTTATTCTGAAGCTTAATCTGAAGCTTGCCTTCTTACAACATCTCTTGGAAGCTTAAAATAAACCGGAAATCTACTGCCTCCGGCCTGTATTCATGTGACAGCCTGAACCCCATCCAAACCCCTCGGTTTGCGTTTCTGAGTCCCCTTCTTCCCACCCTGCGTGACCCGCACGACACAGACCTCCCTGCGCTGCCCTGCTCCCCGCACAGGTTAAGCAAACAGGGAGATTCCTCTGGGGAAGTCGCAGGTTCAAGATCACAAAGGACGGCCGCGCTTGGGCTGGTTGGAGGTTTTTCTCGCTATTGTGCTTATCTGTATCTTCCCTGTCATCCAGACGTTAACCTCTGACCCGTGAGCCCGCCTCTCGAAAAAGCCTTGCAGTGTTTACCCATTATGTAATGTCTGTGCTTTTGTGGAAATTCTACAGAAACAAATGGAGGAAGTTTGCCAGTCAAATGGCTGGACAATAAATCCTGGCCCCGTGTAGATAGAACGATTTACTGTCACTGTAAGGCTGCTACTGGCATCTGTCACCGAAGAAATGTTTACAAATTTCAGTGCGCTGGAGTGCCAAAGTATTCCAGCACTGCAGGGCGGCACATGATTTGTAGAACAACCACCGCCGCACTAGATAGGGGTAGCCTTGTTTTGCAAGCCTGAATAAACAGAGGGACAATGTTTCGGATACCTCAAGGTCACTAATGTCCAATTCTTCTGTCTATTCATCTCCTAGGTTCAGCAATACAACCACCCAAATGCTAGTTTGTTCATCATAATGCTTTTTTTGCCCTAAGGAACTTCTGTAGAGGATTAATCCAGGTAGGCAAACTGCCTTCAGACCCCTCTGCTTATTTCCAATAGGTCCTTTATTATTTATACTCCGTGTCTTCCCATCCTTCCTTACAGTCATTTTCTTCAGGGTCCCTGCTGTCTCTCCTCTTTCTGAGCTGTCTCCCCTTCGGGACAAGACATTGCATTTTGTACCTTTCTGCACAGTGTCATCACAACGCCTTCTGCTGTGTGACTGGGGCTTCCACAAATCATCAACTATAAACTTAGGACAATGGAAAGATTAGTTTGAAGAAGAAGCAGGAGTAAATGTAATTTGAAACAGTGGGACAGATAGGTAATATAATTCTTCCTTCGCTGGCTCTTCCAAGTGAGGGCCTGATTCTGCCGCCACTGAATGGAGCTTTTCACTCTCAATGTCAACGGGAGCAGCACTTGGTCTTAAGAGTTCCGCTGTAATTAAGTTTTCAAATCTCATTTCCTTTCAGAAGAGAGAAAACATTGTTGTGACTAAGCTTTGGATGTGGTAACAAATCCCTGGCACGTTGGTTTGTTTTAACGGACGTATTAGTTTTAAGGAAACTTTTACCATCTTTTCTGCCCTTAATCACCACTTTTATTACAATTACAGTAATGCAACAGATGTACATGCCAAAGGCAATACGTGTATTTTTAATGAGTTGACATGCAACCTTCTCGGAGAGGAGAAACAACTTCATTTGCTGAACATTTTTGAACCATATCTGGCACTTTAATGCGGGATGAGGAATCAATCAGAAAAACATTTACCACAAATTCAGAGGCTTCCCTAACTCACAGATGAACAGTCCCATAAAACAGGCTGAGTTGTTTAGCAAATTATTGCTGAATCACTACATTTTCTATTGTCATAAATAAGAGAAGGTTAACTGCCAACATCCGGAAACCCCTAAGATTATTTATCCACACACGTGGTCCTGAGTCATTGGGCTGTAAAACATCATCAGTTTCCAGAGATGAAACCAAAGGGGAATTCTGCTTGAGAGAGGTGGTATTGCAAGCCCAAAGGAACTAGTTGCACCAATAAGACCTATTTATGCAAGTTTTACAAGACATTGGCTCACAAGGGTTTTCATTCTGGTATAATGAATTCCATCGATAACTTGAACACAGCCAGAGATCACATCCTATGAGCACGAGAACCTGCAGCTTGGTTTCTTGCCTCAGTTTACCTTACAGCTTGGACACAGATCAGACGCTGGTGCACGCAGAACATTACAACAGATCGACACACAGACACCAAGTAGGCTCATTCACGCACGGCCAAAGAGCTTGGACAGCTGGGCTCCAACAGCAGCACACAAAATCCGTTCTGCTAAATTATTCCTGCCACCGCTGTGGTCTGGGCCAAACAGCCTCACAAACAATGGCTGGAGGTTAATGCAGGCCAAGGACCATTTCCAATACAACCCTGGATATGGATAACTGCTTTTGAGAGGTAAAAGTTTATCTGTGGGGACCAGAGAAGGATTCCTGGCTTGTGGAGATATGACCCTACAGACCCTCACATACCTTTCTCTGAGACCAAATTATTAAAGCAAGGAGCCTGAAAACCTGAGGTGTGTACGACCGCATGCTTGCTTTCTCCCCAGTCATCACAGAAGTGCCTTCACAAAATTAATAGGAACTCAAGCAACAAACCATAGGATTCCTATCAGAAATTTACATTATCAATCACAAACGTGATTTTTGCCGGCACGGGGTACAGCAGCAGAGCAACTGTAATGGTGCTTGGTTTGTACAATCCTGTCTAGGTTTGGCAGTAAGAGCCCTCACTGCTCATCCTGCTTTCAGCCTCCATGCTGCCCTACAGTCAGCACGGATCAGCGTGTCCACAGATATCCTTGAAAGGTACAGGACCCCACCGCAATCACAGAGCTGCTCTGGCACATCTGTTTGGATGATTAGTAGGTAAAATTTACCTGACAGAAGACAGAGCACAACCGAAAATGTAGGAATGTGTTTTTACTACCATTACTGCAATCAAAACTTCCCTCTTGCTATTATTACTGTGTTAGCACATCAATTCTATTCCAAATTGTTTTCAACTGCTAACTTACCAAAATACCTGGAGTATAGCACAGTTCACGTTCTGGTTTTCATTCTAAACTTAACATAATTTATCTGAAATTATTCCCTTTCTTAAAGTTGTTTCTTTTACTAGAATGTGTAAAATACGCACACAATACGCACTGGGACAATGTTAATCTTCCATTTTTCTCTTTATGCCCCAAAAGTGCTGAAAGGGTTCTGTGCATAAAGCAACTTCTATGTGTCTTTGTAGGCTGAAGTCTTTTTCTGAATTTAGCAGTTCAGATGACAAAAGCTATACAGCTGATTAAATCAGAGCTTTAAAAAAGCCAGAGATACTGTTGGTAGTATAGGTCGTTTTCTTAAGAAATACATAGTCTTTGGGAAAATATTTTATTTATTATTTTTCCCTTAAGATTTTTTGACTCATTTGAGATTTTCCCATACACATAGTCTTATTTTGATAAAAGATTACACCTGTCCTTCTTCAAAACTTACTCATTCTCTAGTATTAAGCTTTTGCCCAGAAAACTACTTCAACATTTACTACACGAGAACCATATAAAAGTGGGTGTAAGAAAAACAATAAGAAAAAGGTGCTCACCAATGCAGTCCACGCTGAAGAGATTTACGGAGGTTGTTACGGAAGATTCATCACAGGTCTTCAATCCTCGCAGAGCAAAGCGCACCAGGGAGGCTTTGACTCCCTCGGGCAGGAAGGACAGCAGGTAGACGGGCATGTACAGAACGTAACGAAGTTTGCACAGCAGAGGGGTCATGAGCTTTCCTTGAGGGGACTGAGCCATACGCTCGATTGTCGGAAACAGCAGTACCGAGCGAAGAACCTGCCAAGGCCATAGGAAAATGACTGTCAGCAAAGTCCTACAGCCCCACATCCCAGCCCAGAAGACGGAGTTTTTAAATGAGTCTCTGCTTGAAATGAAGTTGGACTTCGAGGAGTGCTGCACCTTGGACACAGAATCACAGAATCACAGAATAATCACAGAATCACAGAATGCCAGGGCTTGGAAGGGACCTCAAAAGACCATCTAGTCCAGCCCCCCTGGCGGAGCAGGATCACCTACAGTAGGTCACACAGGAACGTGTCCAGGCGGGTTTTGAATGTCTCCAGAGAAGGAGACTCCACAACCTCCCTGGGCAGCCTGTGCCAGGGCTCTGGCACCCTCACAGTCAGAGTCTTTCCTTATGCTTTTGTGGAACCTCCTATGTTCCAGCTTGCACCCACTGTCCCTTGTCCTGTCATTGGACATCACTGAAAAGAGCCTGGCTCCGTACTCCTGACACTCACCCTTTCTCTGTTTACCAACATTAATGAGGTCACCCCTCAGTCTCCTCCAAGCTAAAGAGACCCAGCTCCTTCAGCCTCTCCTCATAAGGGAGATGTTCCACTCCCTTCATCATCTCTGTGGCTCTGCACTGGACTGTCTCAAGCAGTTCCTTGTCCTTCTTGAATTGAGGGGCCCAGAACTGGACACAATATTCAGGTTTTGCGGTGTGACCAGGTTAAATTTTTTAAAGATGAAGCAAACAAGAACATGGTTATGAGATGCTCATTTCTATCCGTTTTGAAAGACGTTCCTGGGAATGGAAGCCCATGTGCTGGCTCCAGGAGGAGGTGACCCCGGCATGGGGCAGCAGGTGGAGGCCCCTGTCCCTGCCTGGGGAAAAGTACAGTGCCTTCCATTTCATCTGGTAAGCCATTTTCTCTCAAGTAAACCAACCAAAAAGATTTTTAAAAGTCAGCCACTAGGAGGGTAACTTTACAGATTGACAACACATGGGGCTTTCAATTTGCAGTTTTAAATAGCTAAACTTAGTGCACTTAGAGTCTAAGTGCACACCTCCTTCACTAAGATGTGCATAGTGGTGTATAATATTGCTTTTTACAATCAAATAGACATATTCTAAAGCTGGTAATTATTTTATGTTATGGTAACAGAATACTATGTAGCCTTAAAATAAATGAAATGAATTAAAAACCCACCTACACTAACCAAAACTGAATTAATGTACCTACTCTCAGTTATATTTCATTTATTATCAGTCAAACAAAGATTCTAAGGATACATGCCACGTGTTTCTGAGAGTAAAAACATATTGCAAGAATTCATGTAGGAAAAACCCTCAAAGACACACACTAGAAACAAAAGTTATCAAGAAAGTAAAGCAAAGCAGAAGAGATTCTGGGTATTTCATTTGCAGATAATTAGGTATGACTTGCTGTGCTTTGCTAGTGACTCAGCAATAAATAAAACAGGTGTAATTATATATGTCTGCTTACTGCACATTCCATCCTGTGTATTGTGCAAACAAGATTAATATTTTTGTAAAAAACACTTTAAAATAATTGCCTTTAGTCTCAGCTGAGACTCGCCTAACGTAAGCCCCCGCATCTGCGCGCAGCACCGCTGGCCTCAGCAGCTCTCCGGGGGAAGGCAGGGCGCGCAGCAAACAGCTACAAGCCCTGGGCATTGCAGATGGCAAACAGAAGAAATTCAGGAAATATCAGTAACTTGCCATACTGTACTTCCCACAGTATTTTAAATGCACGCTTTGAAAGTGCTATTCATATCGAATACAGAATTATTTTAAGAAACCCTGCCACTTTCCAGCTGACACGACTTCGGTTTTAGACAAAGAAAAATACATTCTCAGGGAAATCAGTCCTGGGCCTCTTTTTATTAAAGGCAACCAGCAGCTGAAGTACAGGAATGCAAGACTTGCACTAAATTATGTGGTAGTTTCGTGATATTTCAGCTAGGAGCTGAACTCAAACTGTTGTGATCTAAAGCAGATTTGACCTGCGTTTCCAGGCACACATTAATCCTTTGACATTACAGTTTATAGACACAGGATTAGTTGCTTGGAGTGCTGTACTAACCACTGGGGAAGTTGCTAAACCTCCGAGGAAAAAGGACAAATCAAGAAGGCTGCTACAATGCTCTGGGAATTGCTGCATTTTTCAATGGCACATAAGTTTAAAAGCTGGTGCTTAAGGTGGAGTTTCTTTACTTTTTTAATCTCTAGCAGACAACAACAGAAATATATAAAAGTCATATTTTTCAAATACTTACTATTTCTTAGTTTACTGCTAGACTACTGAGCCTGGACTTTGAAATGTGAGTTTTACTGCAGAATTGCTTAAAGATGTAGTTTTACTTCTTTGCAATACAACTGCAGATACAATAGGTGTAACATATTTTATTATAATGACACACATGTTCATAACAAAGTATATCGTACTTGTGTCTTGAAGTAGAATCATAGAATCTCAGAATGGCCCAGGCTGGAAGGGACCTTAGAGATCATCTAGTCCAACCTCCCTGTCATGGGCAGGGATGCCACCTCTCGAAGTAAGTGAAGTAGAAATCTGCAGCTAAGATGAAGGAAATTAATGCAAATGCTCAACATCAGTTAATGCTTTTTTTTCACTTTTCAAATGCCAGGATCTTATCTATATGCAATTTACACTAGCTGAAATCAAGCAGATGGCACAGAATCATATTCACGTTACAACTTTCAGAATTATTTTAAGACTGGTCATTCTGGAGGACATTCCCTACTGTAAACACCAGCTATCGCCACACCTATGAATGCCACAGTATATGCCATTAATAATGCATAAAGGTTAGTGACCCCTTTACTTACAGAAACCCTTTTCATACTTATCGATAGACGTTTCTTGTGATAACAATCAGTAAAAATACAAAAAAAAATACACATAACTAGAGAGAGAAATACAGATCCACCTGGTTTAAATTACCCTCAATTCAAAAGCCAGTGATTTTTATCGGTTAAGCACATGGGAAGGCAGGGAGCTGGGCAACTAGAGACAGTAGTCACAGAGATTCGAGTGGATCTGGGCACCACTGAAAGTTGGCCAGTGAGTCTACTGCAGGCAAACATGCCTGTGTTCAGGAGCTGCTGAGGACTGTGGGTTTTATCACCTACCCTCGCCGTGCTTTGGCCAACTCACTAAAAACAGTATTCTTGTTGTTATACTGTATCCTTACATCAAACAGGAATTGTCACTGTTGATTGTTGTGACAATAAATGCTATTTGTGAATCTGTCATTCAATTATTTAACAGTTATTTATTTAACAGGTTATTAAATTACAAGATTTCAACACTCGGCATGATGCATACACTAAAGTTCAATGTGTAAGGCATAGACGTTCTTCGGGTTAGTCACCAGGCAGACACGTCTATTTTCAACATTAATTAACTTTTTAAATTACATGAGGCTCAAGACCTGAATGGCTCAAAGGACTCTAATATGAAGCAGTGTGTCAGAACAAAAAGCTAACATTATCTGTAAGCTCTTTGCTTAATTCCTTGTAGGTGCTATGGCAGCATCTAGTTCCTAGTCCAGCGCTACACGCATCACTGAAAAAATGAATGGGGCATGTGTCCAGAGAACAAACCACCCTATAAGCCCAATATGTTCTGCCCTTTATTCCTTCAACGTGCACCATGAATAGGAAGGTGTGGGGACTTCTGGAGTTTCTATAGAAATAAACCTGTTATGCAACTCAGAGGCCGCAAGGAAGTCCAGAGATCGAACCAGTGGGCAGAAGTAAAGAAGCAATCTCTCGTGTTTTGTAACCGACCCACAGAACCAACCAATGCTCAGCTGAAGAAGCCCCCAAGTAGGGTTCTGCAGCTCGCCCGCAGCCACACATGGCTGCTCTGCAGCCACGACATTGCTGCGTGCACGACTTCAAGTCACAGGGATGGAAAGAAAACAAGTGAGCGAGTTTCACTTAAAATTCCTTCAAAACCCTACAAAAAGCAAAAGCTGTTTCTTTGTGAAAAGTAACACTTCTTCTGCTATATATTAATCCATCCCATGTATTAGCTGGTTATTCCTCTGCCGTGTTGGCAGAGGAAAAGCTATTATTATTGCTAGGTGAAACCCAGTAAATTTTTCAAAGATAACTTAATGATGGACTTGATGGCAATCTACAGGCTACCCCTGACATGGGATGCCACATTAATCACAATTTCTTTTATTCATTATGCAGAAACCTGCAGGCAAAACAACGAGGGTCAGGGAAGTAGTCCCTGTAGTTATTATCATGTCTGTGCTGAGCAGATTTCACAAAAAAGGCACAGGACAGAACAGACAGCGTTGGCTTGGGCCCTCTTCTCACCAGAGCAGGACTTTCTGGGCACGTCTATTCACTTCGCTCAGTCATGAATTATACACAATATAGTGTAATATAATATAATATAATACAATAAA